TGTGAAACAAATCAGTGAACGGAGATGGCTGAAAAAATAACTCTGTCAAGGGAGTTTTTCTTAACAGGAGTTGTTTCACAGCAGTTGTTACAACTGAAGGAGTACAGGAGTATGAATGACCTTAACCTTGCAGTGCTGCAGAGGAAAAAGACACTTGGAAACAAGAGGGAGAATGCTCCATCTTTTTAATCCTCCAGCTTCTTCACATCTTTTTCCCTAACTCTTCTGTTTCTTCGTTCTGTAGGATTGCTGTGGAGATACAGAAGTCAGAGGCACCAAATGAACATTGAAATTTTCTAACCTCTAATAAAGAGATTAGAAAGAGTTACAAACAAGTCAAAACTAACAGAAATCTAATTTTGATTTTGATAAATACAATGCTATGCATAGTAAGTTGTCATGGTTCACAAATTAGACTGCTTTAGGTAGCTTACCTTCAGAGGGAGTTTGCCATTCCTGTTGGCAAAGAGTGACAGCTATCTCCTGCTGCTGCAGCATATTATAAAGTAATTAATTAAGTAGATGAATAGAAGGTCTTCTGCCTGTCTTGCTCGAGAATATCTATGGTTATGATCTAGACACATTTTACTGACTTCCCCCACTAACTTCTGAAAGATTGTATGGGCACATAAGTACTTTCTTTGCATTTTAAGTGCTTGAGTAAGAATACAGCCACAACATATTCAGTATTGAGTAAAGGAAGTAAAGCCAAGGTAGGTTAGACATGCTGTATGATATGCAGTGTCGCTTAGTTGTACAATTTAAATGAGGTAAAGTAGATTTTTATATTGGATAAGTTTTTCTGAAAAACAAGACATCTGTTGGATATTTTGCAATGAGAAGTTCTTGGAGAGAAGTTTTTAAGATGGTGGGGAAAATTGTTACTTAAAGGTTACTAATTTTGTTAGTAATATAAATGGTATGGTAGGAAGGTGTTATGGAGCTAACTTTAGGGAAGACTTGAACACAAGTTTCTGGAAAATGTGGAACCTTTAAATTAATTTCAAACTTGGCAAGAAAGAAGTTAACCTCAGTTTGCATTTTCACTTAAGTTCCAACAGAAGTTTTATTTTAATGGTTGGTGTGACTTTTTGGTACTCCACTACAGTGGAGACAGCTGTGGCAAAACAGACGAGAAAGTTATTAACGTTTTAGGCATGTAGTTTTTACACTGGTCTGCAGTGAATTTCTTGTGACTTCTTGTGCAGTGTTTCCAGAAGGCACTTCAGAGACACCCACTTTAAGTAACTTACGGCTTGCTAATTAAAGTCAACTTGTTAAAACAGTAGCTCTTTCCACTTAATCTCCATCAAAAACATTGAGGGAATGTTTCCCTGAAGAGGAACTTCTTATCCATGTGGAAAGCAACTGTTAAGCTAGCTCCAAGTGTCAGCCTATTGTGATAACTAACCCTATTTTCAGTCTATGTCTTAGATAAACCATAAACTGCCACAGCAGGAGCAACTTCATGAGCTGTTTAGTCATCACTTCAGCAGTGCTATCTCCCACAAAGAGAGCAGTGTGGACAATGGAGAAGTGTCTGCTTTATTGGCTTAGACCTTTACTGTGTGTCAAGATCCTTCAGTGTCTGAAGTAGCTATTGTGAATTTAGGCTGTTGTATAAGTCAATGTATAGACTCATTTAAGTGCTTTGTGCCAGAAAATTATGCACAACACATTTTTGTTATAATTTGAATGGAGTTATGGGACAAACTTCTGTACAAAGAATGTCATGCTTTTGAAGACTTTTTAAATAAAACCTCATAAAAATAGTTGTTGATTTTTAAATGGAAATCTGTACTAGATTATGTATAATAAATGAATTGATTGTGTCTTTTTGCTTATTCTGTACAAGATCTTTCACAACTTTTTTCAAGTACTGGAGAAAAAGAGCCAACATTCCTGCCTTTTAGCTGCTTTCTCTAGTCTTTTAAATCAAACCAGATAAAACGCTGGAAAGAAAACCTTTGAACCTCCAGAAGAGAGTAGTCCTATCAAAACACTTGTTAAACTGTTTCAAGGTGCACTAGTGAATTTGCTTTAGGTGCTTCGAATTACACATGGCAACTTATTGGCCCATTTAATATGCTAAATCAAGTTCATGGATGTAATTTGAAGTATCTAAATACTTTAATACTTTGTAATGATGAGTCCTTTCCAAGAAAAGAATTGGCTGAGACCAGGTTATAGTTTCACAACTATTTCTAGGCTGTTTTGAACAAGCCTTGCCTGGCTTTGAACATTTCTTGCTTTGTGCTAAGTTGGATGTGTGTGTAGTCAGGAAGGTTGGGGGAACTGATGAAGGTAAAACCTTTTTTCCCTCTCTTGACTGTCTGACTTCAGACACATTTGTTTCTGAGCCTGTTTGGTACTTGGGTGTGTAAATGGTTGTACAGATACAAAGGAGGCAGTAGAATGTGGTTGCAACAAGTGTGAAGGGCTGGGGCCCTGCTTCAGAGGCCCTTGCAAAAATTTAAGCTACTGTACAAGAGGAGGCAAAATCTTGCAGTGATGTACAAAAGATGGTAAGTTTAAATGATGAAATATTCTAAGGGTATGAGGTTATTCAGAATAATGTAGAAAGTGTAGAAGGACTTCAAGCTACTGAGTGACTGGATAATGAAGTGGCAAATGAAATCCGGCGCAAACAGAGGTAATACATGGTGGGAAGAGAAACAATAGTCTGGGAGCAGAATGAGAACCTGCAGTTTCTAATAATTCTTTGAAATTTTTAACTCAATGCCTGATTGCAGTGGGGAGTGGTGGTGGAAAGGCTACAAGTGGTATTGGTTGGAAAGGAGCAAAGAATAAAAAATGGCCTGGGCTGCCATGCTGTTACCCTGTTGTTGTAAACTTATTTTGAATGCTGCATGCATCCTGTCCCATTTATCAGAGGTTTGAGTAGAACTGCAGAAAAGCAGTGGTAACTTTAAATGGCTTTCATGTGAGAAGCAGCAGAGTTGGTAGGATTCTTTATCTGGGAAATATGGCTGGGCAGGTCTAAATGTCGTTACTGGGGCATGAAGGGAGAAGGTGGAAAATGACAGTTTAGTTTTCTGATGTAATGATAAAGGGTGTCAAATGAAGTGACAAGGTGCCAGCTGTGAAGCAAGCCAAAAGTTCTGCTTTACAGGTTCAACAAAACATGTAGGAAATCTTGCAGAAAAAAATTCTATTAAGGACTAAAAAAAAATAGAGACGTTACTGCTTGAAATCTTTGGATCCACAGCCTGTAAGAGACCTAGACAATATTTGGGAGAGGAGTGCTGTTCTAAGTTTATCTGTTCCTCTGGTCTTCTCTAGTCACCTGTCTGAATATTTTGTATTTTGGATCAGGTAGGACTTAAACTGGTGACCCAGTTGTGCATGAGGATGCCAGAGTTATTGGGCAAGGTGGAACGCTTGTCTGGCCCATTATGGCAGCTCTTACTGTCATGACGTTGTTTAGACTTACACTGATTATAAATATGCTTAAAACAGCTGTCTAATTTTCTTGTGTCTAACCTACTTGGTTTAAACTGTTTAGTACAAAAAAATTGTTGATTGCTCTCTAGAATATTAACTTCTGCGTTTTGGCATATTTTTGATGTTTTAAGCCATTATAATTCCAGTTTTATTTTCATATTGAACATATATAGTAAACTTTTTTAGGGAGAAGGGATTCCTTTCTCTTTGAAACTTTAGAGTAACTTCTCTAACATCTGAATAGTTATTCTCATCAAACTATATAGGACACTGATTCATTTACTGGTCTTGTTGGTGCTTTGTGATTAATTCAAATGTTTCTCGTGCTGATAATGTACCTAAGCTATCTTGAGTGAGGTGAAACTTTGCTCTTTCAATTGACTCTATCCCGTTTAACTCCCTGATCTGTCCTTGTGTTTGCGTCATAGTTATACATACATTTAGTTTCTAAAGAGAAAATACATTTGGATATAGGAATGGTAACTTTGTTTTATAGTCTCAAATTCTGCCTATTACTTATGAAGATTCTTCCTTGTGCATTATCTGGTCCTATTTTATAATTTTCTATATTTTACTCCTTTACTTGGAGTGTAGTGTTTGATAGCTAGTCTGACATAAAAGCATGTTCACACTTATATATACTTATATATAAATAGGCTATATATTGTGGAATTGTATGAGGAAAAAATGATTATTGATCAAGTAATTTATAATTTTGAGTTTCATGTGTGAAGAAAGGTTGCAAGATCTTCTGTTTTTCCTTCCTTATTCTCTTCCTCTCTGATTCTAACAGAGAGGAAAACTTACTTGACATTAGAAATTTAACATGTAGAAATCCTTCCTGTGCTGGAGACCTCTACAGCTATGCTTAGCAGCAAAGCATGATGCTGTGTTGGAGGTACCTGAGTTAGTATAGACCTTGAGTTAGCATAGTGCTCAGCTTGGTTTCTTTCTTCTCCCCCTGCCTGCCCCCCATGTTTTTGTTGCCCTTTTTTTTTGTTTGTTTTGTTTGTGTTTGGTGTTTTTATTCTGAGTAACTAGCTGCTGAGTACCCTGTTAATTGTCAGCTACTACTCTTCCTACCAAGGTAATGTAGTTAGAAATGGCTTAGGACCTTTTTAGCTTCCTTGGAACTTTAGAAAACTGTCAACCACTCAAGTGACTAATGTTTTGCATAAGTAATCCTGTATTGAATATTTCTGATGCATTCTTTGATGCTTCTGGTGACTTTATGAAGAGTCTCTAAGCTGGAAAGTTTGTGTCTCCCCATCCTCATTTACATTAGTTGATTTCATAGAAGATTTTTCTTTATATAAACTTCTCTCTTTCAAATTTTGTAGACTCTCATAGTAGCAGAAGCACTGCTACTAATGGTGCGTAAAGTCTGAAAACATGACCAGGTTTTTAGTTACCTGAAGTTCTGGAGTTAGCTATGTGAGTTCTAGCTATGAATCATATTAATATTTAAAATATGTATTAGGTTTCTTACTTTAACCTAATTCTGATTATCTTTTCTCTTGCGTCCCTTTCTTTAGAGACTCTACAGCGGTGGGTAATTCACTGGTCCACAAGCGGTCTCCTTTACGTCGAAGCCATAAGACCTCAGCATCTCTGACCAAGCTGTCGTTACGTGATGGACAGAAAGCCAAAAAGCCACTGTGTAAATTTGAAGAAGGTCAGGATGTCCTAGCTAGATGGTCAGATGGCTTGTTTTATCTTGGAACTATCAAAAAGGTAAACAATTTCTTAACTTATCATATGTTGGTTAAATATTACAGTATTATTGTCTCACTTACTTAGTATTAAATACATCCTTCTGTTCGGTCCTTTTACTCATGGCTTCCACTGTATTTTTGTTTTTCAGATAAACAAACTGAAACAGAACTGCTTCATTATATTTGAAGACAGTTCCAAATCCTGGGTTCTCTGGAAGGACATACAAACAGGCAAGAACTTCAGTGAAGTAGTCATTGTTTGGTATTTTATTTGTTTAGATTACTATATCTTTTAAAATAAATTATTACATTATATTCTTGTATCCTAAAGAGTGATCTAGTTTAATGTGACCCAGGATCATGAATTAAGCAAATAAAAAAAGAAAAAATTTTCAAACTCCTCTTTATCATTGCAGTTACTTGTTTGGTTTGGTTTGATTTTTTTTTTTTTTTGTTTTCACATAATTATGTGCAAGGAGGGGAGAACACTTCTAAAAATAATCATATTTGAGTTTATTTGGATGGGGCTAGAGTATAATACTCTGTCTTAACAGAAAACTCCAGGCCCTAATTTACACCGAGTTTATGTCCTCCTATTGTTTTCAGTTGAAACAACATGACGTGGAAAGAAACCAAAGACTGGAAAATCCTAGGTTTGAATGGAGTTTTCACATTTAAAAGTAACACCATAACTGTTGCACATAAGAAACCATTACAGATTTTGGAGTATTCATGTGATACAAAGAAATGTGCAATTATCAAGTGAGACATCTATTGTATATTAGCTTTGATATTTCAGATATTTGGGAGGTAGCTAGTATTTTGATAATCTAATGCTAATGAAGCATGGATGACAATTTCAGTGACAATTTCTTCTGACAATCAGTTACAATTTCCTCATCATATAAAGGCAATGGAAATTTGATCTGGCTCTCGCTGATTCTTGATGTTTAAACTAAACACTTTATCTGCTAATAGAGGAAGCTTTGTATTCATAATAGTAAAAAATCAAGTGCTTTATTTCTGAGAAGCTTTTAAAATACTGCTGTTCTGCTTCTGTATAGTGCTAGTTTATGATCTTTGAGTCATTTATTGTAACTATCAAACTTTAGTGCATGAGTGTGATAACATGTGGATTAAGTAACTTGTATTTTAATCCAGATTTTTACATTGATACATGGTATAATTGGAGCAAGATGTAGTTTTGTTTCCAGTTTGCAAGCTAACATTTTTTTTTCTTACCTCTATTGTTACTCTGTGCTTTTGTATGCTTGCAGATATGTATAAGAAGTAATAACGTGTTTCCTAAGAGTGTTGGAGTTTAATATTAAAACACCTTGGGCAGATCTGTCAAAAAGATATGCATCAAATTGTGCATATGTTTACATGAAAGGAAGCACAAACTACTGTAAATACAAAACATATCTATCAGTTGTCCAGATAGGAGTTTTCATACGTGTTTTTTAGCCTGCATTTACATTCTTTATTCAGTTACTTAATTTTTATTGTTGATATTAAGGAACCATGGACTGCATAGTAAATAGGCAATATATAGCCTATAAATATCCGATAGGTTATGATAAGTGATATAAATATTTGTAACACATACAGTCTGTACAAAATGTCTGAATTTATTTTTGTTAGGAAGTTAGGCTTTGTAACAATGTTTCTACAATGCATGGGTCTGTAACTGAAATTAAGAAAAAAGCCATACGCAGAGTAACCATTCCAACTGCAGATATAATCTGAAAAAAAATCACACTTTCATCTTTGTCTAGGAGCCACTGAAAGTGGGGAAATGGTCTGTACAATATGTCAGGAAGAGTATTCAGAAGCACCGAATGAAATGGTTATATGTGATAAATGTGGGCAAGGTAACTAGATTTTTTTTTTTTTAATTGCATTTTAAAAGATGTTTTGATTTGTTTTATGAAGGAGGATATTTGCCTGGCTATGACTGACTGCTCAACTGATGTTAAATTTTATAGCCCTTAGCGGCTATTAACCGCTCAGTGAATAATGATAATCCATGTTAAAGTGACTAACACCTGTTCTGTAAGTAAAGTTTATTTTTTTCCACTAAGAATGTTTAAAAGACCATTTTGAATATGTTACCAATCTTTTTGATCAGATTCTTGGCACTTAATGATGGATAATGCCTTATAGTTGCATTAAAATTATATATAGCTAATTCTGTGTAAGCTTCTTTTGCCATTTTAATAACACTTTGGTTGATCATTTTTTATACAGGTTATCATCAGCTGTGTCACACACCAAATATCGATTCCAGCGTGATTGATTCAGATGATAAATGGCTCTGTCGACAGTGCGTTTTTGCAACAACAACAAAGGTGTGTTTCTAAAAAAACATTTCTTAATACATGCCATATTGCATGCATACTTTTTTTTAAGTTGAAACAAAAAAATAAAAAATAACATTTTTTTTTTTTAGTGATTTCTTTTTTGTTAACACTGATCTGAATGGAAGTTTTGTATGTTTGGAATTAATATCTGTTTTAGAAATAGATGACATTTGGCTTTCAATTTATTTTTAAACAAATATGCTAGTATTAAAACAAATACAGGTGAAAATATTTTACTTGATTATAGACAAATTTTCATAACCTTCAAATTAAAAGATTTGAAAGTTTCAGAAATATATTATTGTTTTTGTAAACTAATGTATTTGTTTTGGCCCAGAGAGGTGGTGCGCTTAAGAAAGGACCAAATGCCAAAGCACTGCAAGTCATGAAACAAACATTACCGTATAATGCAACAGACCTTGAGTGGGATGCCGGTCATAAAACCAATGTCCAGCAGTGTTACTGCTATTGTGGAGGACCTGGGGAGTAAGTAAACAGATAATATATAGGAACTTTTCTCCATAACGCAGCTGTAAACTTTGGCCCTGATCCTGTAGGCTTTTACTTGTGAACTTGTTAGTTTCTGTTCCTATTGTGTGTAGGTATTAAACTTGATGCAAAGTGGAATTTTGAATTATATATATGTATGTACAAATTTTTTTAAAATATCTCATGGGAAATACATTATTAATGGCTTTCCTTCTCCCATCAGATCTTTTGGTTTGTTTTAATTTTGTCATGTGACCATCACATAACTCATATATCATACTCCATTCTACAATAAACAAGAATTTTTTTTTTTTTTTTGCAATGCTACTATTAATGTGTTGAGATTGGATGGAGTTGTTTGTTGATCTTGCAATTCTAGGCAGTGTTTTTCTGATGTTAACTCAGCTCTGTCATTAGTCACAAGTATAAATGTATCTAGAGATTAGTTTATTAAATTAATAGACAGCTGTCTACCATAATATCATACACTGGATTGCAATTATTGGCGGGGGAAAGACTTTTTTTCCTCTTATGGCATACAGAGTCCTCTGCTGCTTCTTTCTTACAAGAAAGGCAAGAAGAGGACTTCTTAAGCAGGTAGAGATGGTGTAGACTCTGGTGGCTGTGTGGATGAGTGAATGAATAAAATAGCATTGAAGATTTGAAGTCAAGGCAAGTCAAGAGTCCCACAAAGAAGTGAAGCTTTTGAGTTTATACTCACAGGACAGAGCTCTGGTTTGAGAATTTTGCAGACTTGGACAAACATCACCTTCAATTTTGCATGGTTTGTTTTCTCAAGGGAGAAGCTGAAAAAGGAAAAGAGGAAAAAAAAAAGTGTAAACTATGAGGTTCATTTTGAGGATTCAAGTAGTTGAATCCTCAGAACAAATGTTTGTGACTTAATGTGGCTGTGCCGTGCTTTGGAAAATAACAAGGAAGCTAATCTGGTGAGAAGAACCTTATACGGAGTTACTGAATTCTTATTATAGAGAATTAAAAGGTGGTTGTCAGAGGAAGTTAAATTTTTATTTTCTTCATTTAATGACTTAATTCCTCCTTTTACTAGACTATCTTTTATTATTCTTAGTCGGTCTTTTCTAGTAATGGTTCATTAATGGAACTTAGTGTTACTGAAATATCCCTACAGGTGACTGTTTTATAAACTGTGAAAATCAGTTTGGGTCAGAAGATCCCTTGCTATTTAATTTAAATATAATGAAGAACAATTTTCAGTAACTTTTTAACACATCTTGTTTTTCTTTCTGTTGGTGAAGCTGGTATCTAAAGATGTTGCAGTGCTGCAAATGTAAGCAGTGGTTTCATGAGGCTTGCGTGCAGTGCCTCCAAAAGCCAATGCTTTTTGGTGACAGGTAAGAAACTTAAGCTGTACTTTATGGTTGTCTTTATTTAAAATGTGGAGGGAATCTCACATATGAGCTTTTATTAAGGTAACCGTAATACAACAGTATTTTCCAAAAATGGGGTGAGTTTTGTGTAGAAGATTATATGAAATAAAGCATGTGTTCAGGTGCCAGGAAAATGCAGTTCTTATCTCAGTTTAATGCAGGAGGAGTTTAATGCAGTTTAATGGGATGGTGGGTGGTGGAGAGGTAACACAAAGTGCATTATACTATAGGTGCTGGCTACTGGGAGACTGGAAGCTTTAAAGCAGACCACTTTAGTGGACCCATAAATTAGATAAGGACTTTCAAGTTCACATTGTGTAGGTGACTAATCTCTTTATACAACAGGCACCATACTTCAAGGTAGGCTGTCAGTGTGTGTGTGCAGTAGTAGTTCCCTGTACTAACGGTATAGGGACCTGGAGAAAGCTGGAAGGATAGTTAGACTGAGGGGAACTCTGTACATCCTCTGTTCATGTGTGATGAGTCAGGACAAAAGGAAATTAAAAAGAGCACTGGTGTGTGCTTTCATCTTAAGAGGAACTTGGAGCAGTTGGAGCAGATAAGAGAAAACTGGAGAAGGGAATCAAGGAGTATCTCATTCATTATCTATTATAATTTCTTTTAGCTGTTGATTGTTGGCATGGGTCCTTTAAATGCATGCTTACACTGGTGCACAGGTTTCTGCATTTGAGAGAATGGAGTGGGGACATTACAGAGCATCTTCACCGATATAGTCACAGGTTGAGGGACTTTCTCATGGAGTATGAAACAGTGGTACCAGGATAAAATTGAGGAAGTACCTTGTATCAGGCCCGGTATGTACCAGCACAGATTGTGGAAGTTGATAAAGGAAGGCGGAGGATGAAGGGACTCTCAAATATCATATGGCTGGGTTTCTAGCCTGCTTAACTTTCATTTTTTTCATAACTAGGGTGTTAAAACGAGAGAGAGTGTGTGTATATAGATACCACCACCCAGACACATGTACATATACATATGTGTATATTTTTAGGTTTTATACGTTCATTTGCTCAGTTTGCAGTTCTGGACCAGAATACCTCAAACGTTTACCTTTGAGATGGTAAGTATGAATTTAAAAAAAAAAAAGGGTGAGTTGAATATATGCTCTGCTTTTCTTTTTGGTATTTTGATTCTCCTTGCAAAAAAAGGAAATTCACTTGCTGTCTTGTTTCCTGAGTTGTTCTTACTGCTTGTATGAACAGGGACAACTTTTTCTTCAAAGTTTATCCTTTAAATGTAGAGATACATTGCAATTGCTTGCTCTTGGGATTTATTCCTGGGATTGTTCAGTAAAGTAGCAAGCGACTATTCACTTCTTGTATATGTGAAGATTGAGATGTCTGAACAAAGTCTTTTTTGCAGGTTTAGGATCCTGCCATTTGATAAGCTAAATGTAGTGAGTACTAGAGTACGCATCTTGACACATTTTATAATGTTTTCCTTGATGAGACTTAATGGTCAGTTGTAGTTTGAAATCTTTGAACTAACGCATTTTAGAAATTATATTCAATTTAGTGCATATATGTGCTAACAAATACATGGTTTAGGGACATGGTTTAGTGGGCATGGTGGTGTTGGGTTAACGGTTGGACTCGATGATCTTAGAGGTCTTTTCCAACCTTAATGATTCTATGATTCTATGGTGGAGATTACCTTGTTAAATGTTAATTCATCAAAATACTTGCATGAATTCAGAATTGATACATTCAAGTATGAATTCAGACTTACTTAAATATCCCATGGTTTAGACCAGTTTGGGCATTTAAGAGTACATCATGACAATGCGATGAGGCAGAGATGAAAGTGAGATTCAAAGCAGAAGGAATCACTTGAGGCAGAGGAATGACAGGAGACTTCATAATGTTGTTCCTGGGATTGGGTGTTTTAAGTTGTGCTTTGTGTTCCTCTAATTATATCGTGCTAATATCTTTTCTATTAAATTATTTCAAAGAAAAGCAATTGGAAGAAAAAGACTTTTTTTTCTCTTTTTTTATTCAAATATTTCTGAACTCTAGGGTAGATATAGCACATCTATGCCTTTACAACCTAAGTGTTATTCATAAGAAGAAATACTTTGATTCGGAGCTTGAACTCATGGCCTACATTAATGAAAACTGGGATAGATTGCATCCTGGTGAGGTAAGTAATTGGAATACTCTCTTGTTTTTCCTCACAGTGTATACATATGTCCTGAAAATTAGCAACCTATGAACTGTTTTATTCTGGATATTAAATCCTTTATTACCTTAAAATCTGGTAATACCAAATAATGAGGAGGGCATCTTTAACTTCCTTGCGGAAATAGAATGTTTTTTAAGAGGTGTATGTTTTTCTGAGCTGTAAAATTTCTCAAGTGGTCCATGTAACTATTATTTCATTATTTGCATGGTAACTTTAATTATTCATGTATTTTCCTTTTCTTTCATTTTATTATTGTCTCATAGTTCTTTGATATTTTCATGTGCACAGACCAGAAAATCTAAATGTAGAACTGAATGCAGAGTATATTGCATATGAAGACATCTTCAAAGTCTCTAAGGTGTAACACACAACAAATTATTTTACACAAACATTTCCTCTTTCCTCCCTCTTCCAAACATGGGGGTGATCAGTTTGTGTCCAGGTTTAAAGATTGTTTTGATCCTTTTCCAGTCTGATTCAGCTACTTGTCAAGGCATCTTGGTTTTAGTTCACTACTATACAAGTTACTTTTCCAGTTTTTTGATTTACTGGGCAGTTATCTTAGCACTAAAGGAAATCCATTTCCCAAAGCAGACTGACTTCGTGTTTAACTAAGAGGAGCAGTGTAGATACTTGTTTCTGCATGTAAGGTTGGATGCAAGATTTATGTGTAAGTTCAAATTGGCATACTGCTAGTAGAGTATGCACTTTTTTCATGCATGAAAATTGTGTAGGGTTTTGAAGTTTTTTAATACAGTTGGCATATAACTGGTTTGAAACTTTGTTATCACATCCTACTTTTATACTTTTTAGTAAATTCATACATCTGTAATCCATTTTCACTAGCAGACACAATTTGAGAATCAAATGTATGTTCTTGGTTTAAATGAGTAACTACTCAAATAATGGAAAATAGTTTAAAATACATATGTTTAGACGATGAGTGTCAATAGTTTGTTAGAAAGACAAGCAAACACTCAAGCGTTACTAAAAAATGACAATTAGTATCATTATGAATAGACATCTGGTTTACTTTGGGATGTATAGCATCTCTTAGCTAAGTCATATTAAGTCAATAATTGTCATCAGGTCTCAAGCTTTAATTAAAAAAAAGGCTGCACAAAATGTGGTAATCCTCACACCATCTTTTCAATAGAATGAAATATTCTGGCTGTCTTACTGCGCAGTTTAACAAATACGTGAGACATGTTTAATTTTGACTTTCGTTTCTCTTAGTATTGAGGGAAATGTAGAAGAAATTAATGTTTATCTCACATAATATAATTTTCTTTAGATTTAACATAATTTCATGTCAGAATGGCTGGTCAGAGCAGCCATGGTGTGGATGAGAAGAGTGGAGCTATCTAGCTGCCACTGACTTGGAGCACACATACCATTTTGAAGAAGTTGAAAGGCTACAGTCCTTGTTGTGCTGCTCTTCCCCCTTTCCGCTTTCAATCCATCCACACTCAATCTATGTGAAAAACGCTTAACTAAGGGGGAGGAAGGATAGGGGACATCGAAAATAAGAAAACTCACCTCTTTGTTAAGTGATACTTTCAATTCCTTAATAAATATTTCTACATCTTCAAGAAAACTACTTTTAAGTCTGAAGACTACATTTCTGAAGGACTAGATTTTGAATAAATGCATAAAACCTGTGTTGAGGAAATCTTCAAGACTTTATTCTGAAAAGATTCTAAATGTCTTTCACTAAGTTGGGAAAAATTGTGTCTTGAAAAATTTGAGGCAAATGTATTTTACTACTTTGGTTAATCTGGTTTCTTTATTAAACAGAAATTAGTCACAGAAAGAATGACATCTACAATATAACGGTTTTAGGGTTTTTGTAATATTCTTAGCTTGCCACTGTTAGAAATGACACTTTGGTTTCTTTAGCTGCTTGTAATTGAGTAAGAGGAAAAGTTTTCTAGCCATAAGTAAGATAAGAGTAAATGGTGGAATTATCAGACCTCCTAAACCAGTAATTTTTAGCATGTTGTTATTTAGGATGCAATAAATATATGGCAGTTTTCTATAGTTAAGTGCTGCAGAGTTGCAAGACCTCTGGCTAGCAATGGATTGTACTGAATGCATATGGTAAAGATGCGTAAAACCAGTTGTTAGTTTCTTTGACTAAAATTTGTTAAATACCTCCCTTAACTTTGGTAGTCAGGTAGACTATGAATCTTGCCCAAAATTGTGTTAAAAGGTTGGTTTTTATGAGTATATTTACTCATTTATTTAGCTGCTAGCACATTTAATCCTTTGAGCATTTCTATCTGTCTTGTTTGGTCAGAATTGTATTCTTTAGAAAGTATTTGAATGTGGTTTGTTGTGGGTTTTTTTTTTTTTGAGCTGCAAATGTTGTACAGTCTGCTCTGTAGTGTTCATACTAATAGTGAAACTTATAAACTTTGTCAAATCTATAATTAAAGATAAATTTACTGCAGAGCCAATTGGATATAAGTTCTGGGACATTTTGGCATGGCAACTGGAAATATGGTAGCTTCACTGAATTTTAAAAATAGCTGTCTAAATATAAAAATAAATAATCTTATTTTAAATTCTATTACATAAATGTTGTGTCCACTTCTTTATAGTCACCACCATACTTACTCTGCTTTATGTCTCTAGTTCATAAGTATGCAGTTTTTCAGAGGGAAGTTTCCATGTTTTGGTAGCTTGATAGGGACTAGCTACTTCAGGCTGCGGTGCAAGAAGGGAGGTTAGACTGGGTTTTCGCAAACAAGGCATGAAAATGGATTTACTTTTTTTTTTTTTTTAACTCTAATAAGTTTTCTGGGTCTCTTCCTTTTTTTTTTTTTTTGTACCATGTTCAGTAATGTTGGCAAAAATGGTAATTGGGTCCTATGGCAGGATTTTGGTTAAAATGATCACCAGTAAAATAACTAAGTTCTTGTGTCAATGTAGTTATCTTCTGCTTGCAGTCTCAATTGATTTGGGAGTACATAATGCCACAGAAGACTTCTTGTTAGCAGTCTTAGGAGGGCAAGCTAGTATTATGTTCTTTGAGTATACTAAAATTCTTTGAGATATTTTTCTTGCACTGCTTACAAGTGAAACTCAAATTCTTTGGCCTGGGCTTGACACTGGCATGAATTCTGTGGATGTAAATCACAGAATATATGGGATAATGATTAATATCCTTTGGGGTTAGGTAGTTTCCACAGCTAATACTTCATAAATGTACTTCACATCCAAATCTGTAGTTACAGTAACTCAAGTAACTGGAATCTTTCTATTACTAAAGAATTTGACAGGTTAAATGATTTCTTAATACTTCACAGCTGGCAGATACACCAAAATCTGAAAGATATGAGCATGTACTGGAGGCATTAAATGATTACAAGACCATGTAAGTTACTGGTACTTTTTGTTTTAAATGTTGTTTGCCTATTTAATCTGATGTAGATTACAGTCTTCTGTCTCCTTTGCTCAGTCTATATGATAATCACTTTGGCTGCAGATAACCTTTAAATTTTAAATACTGTTTCTATTTCAAACTATAAGATTACATAACTATTTGAGTGGAACCCAGATCATGAGAAAAAATTTGCTTTAACTTCCATCCTCTTTCCACTTCACATTCTGTATTTGAGAGTGAGGATTGCATTAGAGGAAGGAGGGGAATAAAATAGCATTAGAATGAATATTCTAATTTGCATACTTTTGTTTTGCATGTACACTGTTATTTTAAAAGTTGCTTTCCCTGGGGTCAGAATTTTAACAATTAATTTAAAATCATCTAGGTTTATGTCTGGAAAAGAAATAAAGAAAAAGAAGCATTTGTTTGGCTTGCGAATTCGTGTTCCTCCTGTGCCACCAAATGCTGCTTTAAAGGCTGAGAAAGAACCAGAAGGAACTTCTCATGAGTTCAAAATTAAAGGCAGAAAATCATCTAAACCAATCCCTGATGTGAGGTAAAATAACCCAGTCATTCTAGCAATGTTGTGGTAAATCGGGGCTACTTTGGGTATACTTTTGGTGCCTACAAAAAAGGCCTTTTCATTGTATAATATATTTTTTTAAATAACTGTCAAGGTGGACTATTTGTGAGAACAAGGTCTTTGAATGAATTTAATTAGCTTTCTATTAGGATCCTTCTTTAAAAACAAAACAAAACAAAAAACCAAAAAAAACCCCCCAAAACCAAGAAAAACCCAAAAAACAACCAACATGAAATTTAGCAGTAAGAATAATAGAAAATATCCCAACTTTGCTGCCATTTGGGAAAAAAATCTCTTGCCTTTCTGGAGCTCTTATGGAATAATGTAACTAGAATTCTAAATAGGAAATATAATGTGAAGTTGTAATTTGTGTTAGTAAATGTGCCATCTTTTTTACCAGATGTGATCATATGAATAAAAAACATTTAACACTTGTTAGTTCCTCTTCAACATCAGGGAATCAGTGATGTCACTAGAAGGATCTTGTATCTGTTTATGTTATTCTAGAGGCAAAAATATGTAGCTTCATATCTGACAATTTTGATTTACCAGAATAACCTCATTTAGCGCAATGTTTTAGCAATAGACATCTAATCGTATATTCATTGCTAAAGGAAAACATGTATTCAATGAAAATTATCTTCAGTAATACAGAACAAAATATAAATTTTCTTCTAGGGAATTAAGTAATGGTATAGAAAGAAAGGGGAAAAAAAAATCAGTAGGTCGTCCACCTGGTCCCTATACAAGAAAAATGATTCACAAAACTCCAGAGTCGTCTCCTCTGGTAAGGTTTGGATATTTCCCCCCCTTCCCCCTTTCCCCTCTAACTGGATTATCATTTTTGAAGAAAAACATAACCAGTTAATCTGAATCATGATATTCCTCCACCCTCAAACAAAATTGATACAGCAATTAAAACTCAATTTGAAGTACTTTTTTTTTTTCTTCCCTTTTTTTTTCTTCCTTAGGATAATGAACCAGTTCCAGTGATAGAGAACCCAGCCTTGGAATTACCCTGCAGTGTTGGGTAAATTTTTAAAAAAAAAAACCAAAACAAAACAAAATTTCCCTGTAAAACATTGTAATACTATGTCATTTGTCTGTTTGCTTCTGAAATGTCAGCTCAGTTTTTAATATAAGATTATTTTTATTACATGGCAACCCTGTTATCTTGCATATCAGGAAATCTGATGGAACTGCACATTCATCTAATACCTCAGATGTGGAATCCACAGGTGCTGCCAGTATGAAAGAAACTACCTCATCTAGCATTTCCAGACATTATAGGTAATTATTCAATTACTCTATCTGCTATAAAGGTTAAGATTTGCAATATATTCATTTTAATAAAATTTTCTGAAACAGGGGACAGGAAACAATTGGTTTAGCAGTACTTCACCCTTAATAAACAGAAGTTGCAGGGATCCTACAAGAGATATCTTGCCAAAGCATGACATGTAATGTTCTAAGTCTGGTTTCTTAAAACCTGAGGTTCTGTTGTACTTCCAGTCAGTTCTGAACCCTTTGGCTAACTTCCATGAAATCTGATCCAGGTGGTTCCAAAGAAATTACAGTTTAACAAGATTCATGAAGATAGATGCTTGGATGAGAGAGACCCAAACCAGCAACCCACACTTGCAGAAAGGCAGACAATTTTCTAATCATCTGTGGCCTAGTCATTACCAGTGCTGTTTTGTTGTGGTTTTTTGTTTGTGTTTGTTTTTGGTTTAGTTGAAGCTTTGGCAAAACAAAGGTGGAAGATAAGGTAGGAGGTTGACTTAAGTTATGAGGCAGCCGTAGTAGATGTGAAATGGAAGTAAGGGTATTGCAGAACTGGTGGGAGAATAAATAGAGAAGAACTGAGGATATTGCAAAGGGATATAACATTGAGGATGTGTTAATTCACTGGGATTTGGAGTAATGAGCAACTGAGACTCAGAGCAAAGCTATAAATTGCATGGGGAAATCCAAAGAAATAGGACAAAAGAAAACTAGTCTTTATTAGTTCTGCTTACAACACACAGGATGAGGGTTTTTTTGTGCTCACTAACTCTTCTGTTCTTTGTTGATGTAAAATATGTAGTTAAATTACATTTACTGAAAAGAATTAAACTCCATAAACACTTCCTGAGCTTAGTTTTCTAATAAAGGCGACAAAAGAGCTGATGTGTACCCTGAATTAATTTTAGCAGCTTTTGTTTTTGTAAGTTTGTGTATTCATGTTAGAGAATAGTAAGTATGCTGTGATTTTCTATAGTCAATAGAGCATGAAAAATTTTTGGCACAGTCTTCATAAATTATTAACTACAATCAACTTTTCTGCAAATAAATTGTTACTTTCCCCTCTCTCAAGTTCAGCAAACAATAAACTTCTCTTTTATTGAGGTACATGGATCCTCAGTCTACTTATTTTGTCTCCTCTCTTTCACGCTATCAAGTGTGTTCATGAATCATTTTTGTGCGCATGACTGCTACAAAAATAGTCTGTCTTCAAAAACTTGTGTTTAACTTATAGACTTCTGAAATTGTTACCTAAGCACTTAAGTCACTGTTTTGTATTTCTGCCCTGTATTCCATGCTTTTATTTTATTGTTAAAAAGCTGCACTTTTTTCCTCAGTATGTTACATAGGAGTCTTGAACATCAAAGTTTGCGTACCATTTAATTTAGGACTTTATCAAACATGTTTTAGTATGTGCAAATTGTAGATGTAGGTTTTTACATAAGGATTTATGTCTTGGACACTTTCAACATTTGGATGATGGTTTATTCTTGGATAATGTCTTTTTTCATTACCAGATACAAATCTGTGTGAGTTTTGGATATACATATTTTTCTGGCCACATATATAAATCTTTAGAAAGTCATGTGTACTACAGAAAGTAGTGATGTAGAACAGATTTTGCAATATCTGCTGTCATATTTCAGAGTTTTACTTTACTGAGATAAATTCAGCTTGAAAAAAAAAACTATGCATAAATTAATTTTTAATTTACAGTCTTAACTAACATCAAGTCTCAAGGTCTCTTATAGTATAGCTTTTGTAATTGAGGCCTACCTGTGTGATAAAGCTGTATTTTTAATTTGTAAATTTAAGCACATTCGGTGCAGATTTCTCTGAAGACAGTTTTTTTTAAATTTGAGAATGGGATTAAGCTGTATCAAAATAATACTCTTAATATATCTAGGCATAAGTTAATATCATTTAACTAACCTTTCTGACATTTTGTTAAATTAGTACAATTTTCCTTATGTAAATAATATTTATTTTGCAAGTGCCATATTTATAGTCATCTATCTATAGGCAACAAGTGTTTTTATCAGTGAAAAATAGAACAAAGAAGTTATGATATGGGTTGCATGGAAATAACTGATGATAAAGCATACATAAGTTCCTTGGAGTTAATGCTGGGGTTTTTTTTTTTAAATAGTTTATCTGACTCAAGAAAAAGGACTCGTACAGGAAGAACTTGGCCTGCTGCAATACCACATTTGAGAAGAAGAGGTCGCTTTCCACGAAAAGCACTCCAGACTCAAAATTCAGAAATTGTCAAAGATGATGAGAGCAAGGAAGATTACCAGTATGATGAACTCAATACAGAGATACTTAACAACTTAGCAGATCAGGAGTTACAGCTCAATCATCTGAAGAACTCGATTACTAGTTATTTTGGTGCAGCAGGTAGAATAGCTTGTGGGGAAAAATACCGTGTTTTGGCTCGTCGGGTGACACTTGATGGAAAGGTGCAGTATCTTGTGGAATGGGAAGGAGCAACTGCATCCTGACTGTAGGACTGAACATTATGTTCACTGCACTGTCATCTGTAAGTACAGTTCATAATGCAGAGCCACGAGAGAAACGTGTCTTTAAATGTGTTTCTAAAAACAAAACAAAACCAGTTTAGCCTTAACATGTAATTGTTATCATTACAGCTCTTGTGATAAAGACTTATCTTTTTAAAATCTGATCTGAAAGTTAAATTTTTTAATCTGAACATTGTTAGATTGTTTTAGGTTGGGATATTTTGGGTTACAATTGCTTAAAAATGTGCATGGTGTTTTTAAAAAAAAAAAAAAGACATTTTCTAGAGAACATTCCATGGAAACAGTTATTGTGATTTAGAGAAAATGTTATGTAGATAGCACAAATCTTTGAAAAATTTTGGTTTGTTTTCTTACCCAAATGTTTGCAGAAATGTATTTCTATTTCAATACTTTCTAGATTTCATAAGTGCAGTGTATATAATGCCTACTGAAGACTGTAAAATACTGAAGTTTTCTTTCAAAGTGTAAAAAAAAAAAAAAAAAAAAGAAAAATATATTGAGCCTGTAAATTGCTCTGTGACCAGACTTCATTGTCGTCTTAATATATTCTTTGTGTGTGTGCGTGTGCGCATGTGTGTGCGTATATACATACGTATATATGCACACACATACTTGTGCGTGTATATATATGTGTGATTGTGACCTATGCAATACAAATTATGGGATTGGGCAGCTTCTGAGAATACATCCCATAATTCTTTTTTCAGGAATAGTTGCCAGTATTTACACAGCAGCATTTCTTCTCAGGCTTATTGGGTGCTGTTGCTTTCTATGTGCTAAGGAAAAGTGTCAAACCAGTGCAGCGTGTTCTGGCAATGGGTGCAGTCATTGATGTTCATATGCTCTAGGTAATATATTGCATTATTTTCCAAGTGAATTAACTGTTAAAAAATAATGCTGGATCTGAACACTTTGAAATTAACTCTGCTAGAAATAACAATTTGAAAGTTATTGTGGCACACTGATTGTAAATTTTGTGTCCCAGTTATAAACTAAGTTGATAGGAGTCACACACAAGATTCCTACATATCTGTAGAAATGGTCATATTTTGATAAATGTAGTATGAACAAAGTGTATTATTGCACAGGGTCAACAAACAGTTTGTTGCCATTTGAAGTAACATTACTGATTTTATTACAACATTACCTCTTTTGTTTTTATAAAATGTACCAAGTTTTAAATTGATAAGTTTATTTTACTTGTTTAAAAAAAAAGTCAAAGTCTCTTGCCAGTATTAGATGTTTTTTCTTTGTCTGCTACTTTTGAGGGGGTTTTAGCCAAAGAGTAAACAGAAGAATATTTTTTACTTTGGTGGTTATTCACTGTACTGCATAAGGTTAGAGTTCTTACATGCTTAACAGTTTACCACCAAAACAAAATTACGTAACATTTGTAAATGACAGAGTGGTTTAAAGTGTACTGCCTGGGTTAGTACTTATTTATTCCATTACTTGATTATTTGACTTTTTCTGCTCATCTTGAACATCTTGAAAAGGTGATTCCTGCCCCCTACCCCCCGCCCCACCTGTCACCTTATAGCCAAAGGAAGCAGAGAAAGCTTTTTATCCTGTGCTTGGTTTTTGGCTGGCCGGGTAATATTAGCTTTATTAAAATGCAAATTAAAACCTGCCACTTCTGTTTACCTTCACTAAAATGTGTGTGTTTTTCTCACACCCTCAGCTATTAATTTAATGTTGCCTTGCCTATAGCTGCAATATTTTGATAACACAGCAACTTCATGTTAATTTTTGAATGTTTATATCTTGGGATAATGCAAAATGTAAAGCCTTTGTAACCTTACTCACACCATCTGTATCTGTCTTTATTGTTTCACTTTATCCAAGTCCTTTAATTCTAACTGAACACCAGCAGTATTTTTCGTAAAGTTTCATTTAAAGATAAATATTGGAATGTACTTGGGGACTTTGGGGAGGGGGGGAGAGAAAATATTTGCCAAACTTAAGCTGTCCATAGACTTAACTATTGTGAATGTCATTGTTTCATTTTATTATGGTGGTTGACTTGACTCTGATGTTCAGTTTGTATTTTTGGAATTGCTTTTTTCTTAGAATTAAAAGACCAACATTAAATGTGTGTATTTTTTGAGAGAGAAGAATGAGTTTTGATTCTGTATTCTTGTGAAGTACATACTTGGTGGCATCCTCCCATCCATTGTTTCTCTATCTCTAGCTTTCCTGTTACTATCCTGGAGACACTTGCCCTGCACGTAAACACTAACTAGTGTTCCAGCAATGCTTGAGGGATGCTTTGTTACAAGGTGTCAAGTACTGGAAAATGCTGCAATAGTGCTGCTGAAGATACAGCTAGAGTAGTAATTAAAGCACACCTACAAATGCCTTTCTCTCATTTTATGTGAATTTCATTGTATGTAGTAATGGAGTGTCTAAAGGAAAAATACAAATGTTGCTGTACATAACGATTTCATTTTGGTATGACTTGATCATTGTATGTATGCATGTGTGTAAATATATGTAATTCAACTTTGTTGTGGTCACTGATTTAGAACCATTTCTATGTGTATCAGATTTAATATTTTTCCATTATATATTATTTGTATTACAGTAGTATTTAGGTAGGTGAAGTCTCTCTTGAGGCCATTCTAAAAATGTAGGCATCACATGAACAAGACAGCAAAGAAATAACAGCACATTACTAGTCAGAATTGTAAAACAATCATCATAGCAAACTACTTGTCAAATCATTGTTCTCAACAAAAACTTCAAGAGGAATTTTGAATAAAAACTGTGCTTTTCTATGCATAATGCATTTTGAGTGAGATCGCAAAGGAATTTTTGAAAAATCTCTCAGCGTGATGTGTGAAATGAAAGTCAGTATTTTGATTTAACATGAAGACAGAAATAAACCAAAAAAGGCCTTGAAAGTGAAGACAAGCAGTTTGTTTTCTAGGGAGTGGGGGGACAGATAAGTGGATAAACAGAAAAATGGTCATGTCTTTGGAACATCCTACTAAAGTGATCTTTAGTATTATATTTTAAAAGGAAATTGGTGAATTGAGATGGAACATGCCAAGGCTGGAGATGGAGAATAGTCAGAACACAGTGATAATGATGAACTGGACAGGAGCATCAGTTCTGTGCACAGAGGGAAGAGGATGAATCTTACAAATGCTATGCAGGTAACATTTTCAGGCTTTAAATTGTGTCACTTCTCTAGTTGCTTCACATCTGCCTGAATGAAAAGTAACACTGCAGTAAAAGGTATGATGGCAGAAAATGATATTTTCTAGAAACGGAGAAAAGGATTTAGGATGGTGAGTTTGTGGTTGGTCAATGTTGAACTTAAGCTGATGGCTAAACACCCGTGTGGAGGTGTCAGATCTATTGAGATCCTAGTTTGGTCAGAAAAACATAGTAAAGCGTGAGGAAAAAAATCCGAGTTGTCAACCTAAAGCTTGTAGAAAAGTTGATTTCTTTGTTTGTAAATTGGATCATCTATAGGTGAGGTATAATGAAGAGAAAGAGAGGGAAAAAGAGACTTCTGTGGAGTCCCTGAAGAACGTTGAAAGGGGAATGACTATCTTCTAGAAAAGATAGTGCAGGACAATAGAAAGAAAAGCAAAAGATGAGTACAAGTAGAAGATGAGTACAGTTCTCAGCACAGTCTGAGAATGATCTTGGAATTCAATGCTTTTGCTAGTCTTTCACTCCTATCGTTCAGCAACAATGAAATAGAAGATTCTGTATTGTCATGATTTTATCTGTTTTGCATTTATTGAATTCCTTAATTTCCTCTCACCTAGCTCATCTCTGCTATTTTTTAATCAGTTTTTTTCATATTCCAGCATTGAGATCCATGTACTATAACATCAACAGATGTTCTGGTTTTCATTGATACCAAAATATTTTGCCTTGTAGATACAAATTTTTCAAATACAGCTGTAGCTGATACAGTTCTTTCATATAATCTTCCTCCTAAACTGTTCACGGCTATTACTTCACCAGTGTGTATTTCTTTTTCACTTGTTCTAATTTATGTTTCCAGCTTCCGAATTTGACAATATTCTGTTCTCTTCCCATTATTAGCTATTTTGTGTTTGGCATCCATGTGGTTTTGGTTTCCTGTCTTTCCTGGTCTTCTTGTTTACTTAATGTCCAGTGTGGTAGCATTAACTTGCAATCCTGACATCTGCAGTCTTACTCTAATAAGCTCATTTGCTTCAAAACCTGCTTTATAGCAAGAAGCTAATTAATAGTTCTATCTTGCTCTAAATAAAGTTTGTTCTTCTATAAGCACCATTTCAAAGTATTACATTTGTGCTCTGCCATTCCCTAATGAATGCTCACAAAACTGTTGCTATTACTGCATTCACTCATGTCATCATCCAATGTGATAGTTATTGCTTTGATACGTACATGTTTCTCTCATTCATGAACATTACTAAGGTTGCCTACTTCGTGTTTTTCACTTGCTTGCTCTAACTTGGTATTAACTTCACAAATCGGTAGCATGATAGCGGAGATTGGAAAGCAGGATGATAGTTAAATTCTAGAGATTATCAACAATAGTTGGAAATTCAGGGAAAGGGAAATAATGAATGAACAATTGGAAAGGTTTTCAGGCTGTAGGATGTTAAAATATATTTGTAGTGGTAGCAGGAGCAAAAGGTGAGCCTAAAAAGGGGAAGAATATAAGGTAGAACTAAGAATTGATCAAGATAACAATGCAGAGTTCCTTGGTTAGGGAAAGTGATGCTTTTTGTACAAAATCCACGCTCAGAACTCTCCTTTCTGAAAAACTGACTAGGAAGGCTAACTGGCTTGTTGCAGGAAAGTATGTATATATAAATATATGTAATGTGTATATTTATGTGTAGAAATACACAAGTCGGAGTAATACAATGAGAAACAATTTGGATGTGTTTAATTACAAAGGGAATTTATTATTTTTAAGGAAGTCTTCAAGTGGGCTGTGAAATGCTTATTAAAAAGACAGCCTTTGATGTACTGTTAAAAAAAAAAAAATTAAAAAATTACTAATTCAGTCCTTGCCTTCTTTCCTCCAATGCTTTTTCTTCTGTGCTTGTGGTAGTGAGCCCAGGTATTGTAGGTGCTCACCTGCCTCACAGTCATTCAGAGGTAAGTGCTGAAGCTTTAGAATGGGAACTCCTATTTGTTTGGCCACTTGGCGCCTGAGTTTGCTTCATTCTTCCCAGTCTTGTGGTGTCATCTTGTGGGAGACAAGTGACTGGGAAGA